TCTTTTCTATTTTAAAAAATCATGTCTGAACTCTTCATGAATGGTAATTTTCTAAGTTATAGCACTTAATATGAACAATTACAGGAATGATTTAAGAACTATTTTTTTTTTTCCTCGAAGATTTAAAGTAGTTCTTGACAGGCAGTTACAGACTAGCATCCAGGATCAATTTAATTCAGTTTTCAGGAGGAAGATGGTGTGAAAGAGCTTCAATTTCTTCAAGGTCCATTTGGCTTCAGTTTCCATGTTGTGGACATTCCATTTTGTGATATGTCAAATTGACTGGATTAAAACACCTACCAGATTAGCAAAGCATACTTTTGGGTGTGTCTGGATGGGTCAAAAGTGGCCTGACCATGGGTAAATCTAGTCCCTTGCCCTTCCTCTCTTATACTATTCCCCTACTGTGCTTCCTGGCTGCCATAAACTAAGCATCTTTGCTCTACCACATCCTTCCTCTTGATGTTTTTGCCTTGAAGCCATCTGACCATACACTAAACCTCCTGACCAGTGAGTCAAATTAATCCTCTTCTCCTTTAAGCTGGGAGTGTCATGTATTGTGTCTCAGTGGTGAGAAGGCTAACAAAGAAAATGGGTGCTGGAGAAGTGAGGTTGTTGATGTGACTGTACTTGATCATGTGGTTCAGAAGCTTCTGAAAGTGGCTTGTGGTAGGAATTTGGAAAAGCTGGCTAGAGCCCTAGAATATTGTAAGCAGATTGGTAGGTAATTCTGGTGGGAACTCAGAAGACCAAATTACTGATAGAAATTGAGATAGTAAAGGCCAGATACAGGAGACTGACCTGTTGATTATACCCAAAGCAGGCTGTAAACAGTGCAGGCTGTAAAGAGTTAACCTCACAATTGGCTTATTTTAAGAAGTGAGTTTGACTGAAGCCTACATGACTCATAGGAGCATTGTGGATGGCACATGGGTCAATATCATCCCCCACTACCAACGGCCATGGCAGAGGCAGAGAAATGGCCCATGAAGCTGTGGGGCTTGATATGAGACAACACGGCAACGAAAGTCAGAATGACTCATATCCAAATTCTGTTCCAAAAATTTAAAACTTCTTAACTGAAAACACAACCTATATCTGTTCTGTTCTGTTCCTAACACAAGAATGTATTGTCTCTTCTTTTACAAGCCTTGCCTGCATCAACGACTGATCCCTAGCATCCACACACATCCCCCTCAGCCCAACTTGACAAATGATTGTGTCACCAATAAATATCAGCAGTTCTGGCTATTCAGGGTCTTTGCTTACTCAGCTTTGACCATCCCAGTTCCCTATTTCATTGTGATTCTGTCTCTGAGTTTTTCTTCTTCCCTTACATTGGTGCACCAAGCAGGAGATCAGGATCCTCTGTCAGGGTCCGCAGTAACCAGTTTGAAGAGTTTTCAGATGGAAATAAGAGGTGCATTAGGAAAAGGACTAGAGGCCATGCATTTTACATTCTGGCAAAAACCTGTCATCATTTTGCTCATGTCCTAAGATTTCATACAAAAAGCAGCAGACTAATTGATGTGGTGGAGGAAATTAAAAGACAGTGAAACACTCAGGAAGTGGCATGAGTACTGCTGCATGATCTAAGCCAGATTTATAGTAAGAATTGGGGGCAAAAAAGGAAAGTAGAAAAAATTTGAAAAACTAATTTTGGCCCAAAAGAAATAATATGTAAGGTTAGAGCCAAAGGAGGTATGGTTGCTGAAGAGATTAGCATCATTAAAACACACACACACACCCACACCCACACACACATATGTACTTTGCACCAAGACAAGAAGGAAGATGCCTTCAGGACATACCATATCAGAAATCAGCAAGACCTCAACCATTTTTGGCTCAAGGGTACAAAAGTATTCGCCTTTCATTTAGGAAGAGTCCCTGGATTCCTGCTCAAGAAAGACTTCCCAGGAGTTTGGTTCCCAGGGATTCATTTCAATCTTCTCAGCCATCTAGGTACTCATAGATCACTGTAGCCATAGTTCGAGAGGCCCTGGCTACTGCTCCTATTGACAGCAGACCTTGTCATTGTCTGCATGATGTTGTTTTTACTGGCAGGCACAACACAAGAGTTATGGGGTAACAGAGGCTTCCTCCCAGATTTCAAAGGAAAGCCTGGGAGGTCAGGAAATGAGTCCCTGAGAGGGCATAAAGCTGTGGGAAAAAAACTGAAGGTGTAATAAAGACCCTAGGAAGTTGGAGATTCCAGCAACATAGACTGTCTGCCAAGAAAAGCTGCAGGCCATAAGAGCCAGCCCAAGAGGAAGGAAGGCCAGATGGGCTGCAACATAGCAGTCCACAGACTGAGGCTACCTATGCACTTTGGAAATTACATCTCTCCACCATGTGCCCTGGATGCTGGACATGGAACTACAGGACTTAATGTTTGCCTTGCAGGTTGTTCTTAGTATTTTGTTCCTATTCTTTTCTATCCCCTGATTCATTCCTACACTTGATCTTAGCCAAAAGGCTGAGAAGCGATGCCCTGATTCATTCCTTTTGGATTGAGAATATTTACCTGTACCACTAAACCTTGGGATCACATAACTTTTTCATTCTTTGAGAGGTTCACAGCTAAAGACTGGAGGAAGCAAACAAAATAAATTAAGACCTGATGAAATAAAACTGTATTGCTCTCCTAGGCTTTTTTATTAGTCTTAGAGTACAGAAGTTGCAAACTTTTCATACTATTTCTAACAATTTTTCATCCAATGTCTCACAATTTGCTCATTTCCTTTTCCCTGTAAAATCATATGTTGGATCACCCTATGGTAACAAGCACATAGGTCAGCCCACTTACTCATATGGACATGTAGGAGGATACTTTCTCCAATCTAAATGAAGGTCAAATAGTTCAAACAACTTTTTTTTCTCTCTCATCTTCTTTTCCTACAAATGGAAACACCACAAGAGCAAGAGATTGTGCATTTTATGTAGCCTGTCAAGGTGTACCGAACACTGATGTTGTTAAAAAATAAGATTAAAAAACTCAAATAATAAAACTGACCATAATTCAATCAAGTGCCGCTAGTGATGCTGAGGCTACACTTTAAACTCCAGAATAAAGCATACACATCCTTAATCATAGTAACCAGAAATTTAAGTTATATTTTAGCAAACCTTTTCCAGCAAAATAATAGCACCAATAATTATTTGCTAAGTCTAGCACAGTGCTAAGTGCTTTTCACATATGTGCTTTAACTCATTTCACCCTGAGTTCATGCATACACTTATCTTCTATTTGATTCACAGTAAGTCCATTAGAAAACACCAACACCACCTCATTTTCAACTGAAATAAACAAGAATTCAAGAGTGTAAATGGCACTCCCAAATTCATATATTCAGCTAATATATGCAGGGCAAAGCTAGAATTCAAACTCCTTCCTGGTTTTTGGACTCAACAGCCAATATTGTTATTTACAATGTTTCTCAGTTCAGCACCTGTAAAAGCTGGATGATAATATTTTTCTTTGTGAAAGAATTGGGATTCCCATTACTTGATTTTTCTAAAATGCTCAACTTGGAAAAGGAGAGAAGTATTACTGGCCAAAGCGTGAGATGGCATTTGAGAAATCAAAACAGTTACACAAGAATCATTGCTCATGTCCTCTTGCTTGAGATAAGCATTATAGACGATCATGTAAGAGGGTAACTGCTAACGGTAGATCATTTGTTCAATATCTAAGTAATGTAGCATGTATGGAAATCCAACAGAATCAAACACAATACTCTACTTTGTATATCACAGTATTCAATTTTATTTCTTTGCTTTTTGTCTGACAATTTGGGAGGATTACGAGAGAACAAAGTACAGTGCAAAGAACTTCATAATAGGCATTCTAACTATAACCATTGTTTCTTGCATTATTAACCTAATTAATTTTTAGTGTTCTTGAAAATTTATACTTTAACTAGACTTTTAAAATAATTTATATTTAAATGTTGTCTTCACATTTCTGTAGATCACCCTTTATGCTACCAAACATTAGCTGAAAATAGTAGCTATAAACAGATGAAATTGGAGAAAATATGAAAATAGTTACGTTTGTTATGCAATCTAGCATCCTTTGAATATGGTGCTGATTTTTACACACTATACATTATTGGATATTAAACATATGGTATTGTAGTTCTGAGAAAAGTACACTTTTGATCAGGATTTCTGTCATTAAATTTATATTTATCAAGCACTTCATAAAATTCCCTTTGTATTTTAATTCTTGTTACATAGAATGCTGCTCACACAAAAAACTATTAGAAAACCATGGTATTATAAAAACAGAATAAAAATAGCTATATTGAAATAAATACAAAAATTTAACCAAAAGCAGTTTTTAGTATCCATTTCAAGGATTCTAGTATGTAGGGTCTGGTTCACCAGAGTACATGCCAATATTACCTAATATTTTTCTTTATTACCTAACATTTTTCTTTGCAGAATAAAGTTGAAACATATATTACAATCATCTCAGTTCACATAAACATTTATTTACCTATGTGAACAGAGAAAGGCAGGAGAAGGAACATGAAAAAAGAAATGAGAGAGGTATTTTTTGACTGCTTCCTAAATAGTTTTCAATGTGCTTACTGAGTGAATATAAACACACACACACACACACACACACACACACACACAAGATTTCAAATGAAATTAAAATTACTTTCTTAAAGCCCACAATACAGAATCATAATTTAAAAACAAAAATTAGATATAATAATTCTCTTTAAAATCCTCTGGAAATATGTCATACTAGCCAAACTAAAAAAATAAAAATTTTTAATATTTGCAAGTGAATTTTAAGAGATATTAGTTAATTTTAAAAACCTAATTGGCATACTGTATTCTCTTAGAAGTACTGATTACAACACAATATGGAGCCAAGGATTTAGCTCAGTGGTTCCATCGCTTGCCTTGCAAGCGTAAGGTCCCGAGTACGATCCCCAGTACCAAAAAATAAATACATAAATAAATACTTCAATAAAAGTTAATTGAGGTATAAATTATGTATATTACATGGAACAGATACAGATATGATTAAAATTTCTTAAGAATGCTATAAACTTCGGTGAGAATATAGTAACTAATATCCAACTTTTAAGACAAAACAGAATGGACATGGTGGCACACGCCTGTAAGCCCAGCACTCAGAAGGCACTGCTTGCAAGAGGAGCACTGCAAGTTTGAAGCTAGCCTGGGTTACACAGTGAGTTGAAGGCCAGCCTGAAATACACAGTGAGATCCTGTCTCAAAAACAAAAACAAACCATCAAAATAGGAATAGCAACTAACAATTGCAGACTTATTTAATTTTTTAAATTGGTGAACCAAGATCTGTGAACTGTGTACTACATAACATTGGTGCTATGCTAAAATCACTCATTAAAGTGCTCAACACAGAGATTCACAAGTATTTCATTAGCAAAGCGCTATATATTCACTGGAACAATCAGGAACAATTTCTATTTGTATTGTTTGAATTTTTCCAGTTAACTGTGTAAAACTCACTTGTGTATTGCGTGCCCAACAAAAAAGACCAGTCACCGAAAAGGGTTAAGATAGTTTTGCAATAAAACATTTTGAAACCAATTTCGTGTTTACTGAAGGCTTTTTCTCATGCATATGACTCAAGACTTTTATCTCTCAGAGTATCAGTTTCCTAGAGTTGAAGTCAAAAATTACCGGAAACCCAGGGTTGCTTACAGTAGTAGGAATGTATTCTTTCAGTGCTCTAGAGGTGAGGATCCCAAGTTCGGGAGTCACCAGGGGAGGCTCCTCCTGGAGACGCTGAGGAGAATCATCTGCTCCACGCTCCTCTCCTCTTTCCAGGGGCTCCCCAAGATCCTCCATGTCCCTTTGCTTGCAGACTTCTCACTCCGATGTCCGCCTCCTGCCCTGCCAGGCATTCTCCCCTGTGTCTCTGTCTTTTCTCAGACACCAGTTCTATCGATGAAAGGCCTGCTCTGCTCCAGCCGGGCCTCAGCTTAACTACTTACACCTGAAACGACTGGATTTCCAATGAACGCTGCATTCTGAAGTTCAGAGAGGTGTCAACACCGTCCAACCCATGATGAATTTCCATTTAACATGAAAGAGAATAGTTTCCATACTAACTATATTGGATGGGGGGTGAAAAGAGGAACCGAGATGTGTTATGTACATGGACCAACTCCACAGGAGGAATGTAGATATTTTGATCTGCAAACATGGACTAATAAAAAAGAATGATGAAACAGGGGAATCGTTGTTTAAGATGAGTGTGCCGTGTTATTTTCTAATCAGATTCTCAGATGGGAACTTAAATTAGGGGATCTTTCTCATTCACAAAATGTTATACCTATGAAGAGAAGCTTAGGAAAGTTTTTGGGTAGGAGTCAGGAGACTAATCTCATTAGATTCTCTTCTTTCTGTTTGGAGCATACTGTTTAAAAGGAGTCTTTCTCGTTCTGATTTCACTGCAAGATTGTTCAGACTTAAGTATACAATCTGTAAAGTAATAGCACCAAAGAAGTTCGGGAATTAAAGTTAAATATTACAGAGCAAGTAAAATAAATCTGAGGTAAAGTCATATATTTAATTCTTATCTATTTTACATATATATATATATATATATATATACACACACACACACACATATATTACTCACTTGGATTCCCAATTTGTCAACATAATTGAAAATATGAATTTTTCCTGCAGCAAATTAAGAGTGCAAATAATATTTCAAGGATAACTACTGGTGAGAATATTCATTTACATGTGTCTTTAATCACCATGTCCCCTCCCCACCCCATGAGCTCTACCATTATCCCCTACCCATCCTTCAAGTTGCAATTCAAGAGTATTATGTTGTCAGATTTAGTTTCCTTCAATAGATCAGATCCCTATTAGATGCTCCAAATGCACCATTTTGGTACTTCTGAATGCTACTTCTTTGCAGCATTTACCACTGTGTCCATTTTACACTGGTTTTTGTGACTGTGGAAAAAATATCCTCCTCCTCCACAGGACTGTGGGCTCCATAGGACAGGTACTATGGCCCGTGTGTTCTATAAGTACCTAGGTTTCTCTAATGACAAATTCAGTACTTGCTCAAGAATGAATAAATTGGAAACGCATACTTACATATAAAAACTTAGCACTGGAATTATGAATCAATGTCATCAATTTTTTAAAGAGTTCTCTACCAAGAAGATTTATCCTGAATAAGGATTTTCTCTTGATTACAGCTACTATACTTAAGTAAAAACATGAAAGGAACATTAATTTTAATATACTGAATAAATCAGATAGTTTTCTACTTCAAATAGACTCTGAATTCTTTTGAATAGTTCAATTAAAAATGCAGGATTCAAACAAGAGATTATATTATTTACTAAAGGTTTTCTGAGTTGTTATTAAAATAGACACAATTGACATTAAATGTAAGTTCCATAAAACAATTCTCTATGATGGCTGTTAGGGTAATTCTACATTTTTTTACTTTGTGATACATAAAAAATTAGCTCATTTCATAATGAAAAATCCCAGTAAAATAAGGAACTATAATTTCAACAGTGAAATCCATCAGTATAATGCATTTTAAAATGATATTTGGAAAGTAAAATTTGTAAAACACCTGTATTTGAGAAATTTGTACCAATTAATTATTCACAACTAGGGAAATTAAAATTCATTTCATGACCATCACTAATTTTTTGAGCCATAGAAAGTCTTGCAAATGTAAACATCTAAATTCAGAATTTAGGGCATGCAGATATGGTTATAATTTCTTCATCTTTGACAACCTGAGTTTACATATTTAGATAAATACAAAATATAATTCTTTATTATTTACTTACTGGGTAAAGATTGTGTCTCAAAAGTCAAATATTATACAAAGACAAATGAATTTTCCCAGTCTGGAGATGCTGCTGCTTCCCACTTGAAATCTACTGTCATGCTAAGTTTTCTTACAATTTTTTTCTGAGAAAAAAATAATACTAGATACCATCAATTTCCACACTGTCCCACACTTTATATTATGGTGTTCAGGAATATTACTGAAGGAAAATGTGATGATCATATTATGTTAAGTTTCTCACAATTTGATAGCTGCTCTCAGCTTGGCTGACCGTGCTCTGGGGTTATCGTGTATGTCCTGATCTTTGGGGGTAAGTACCTTCTTGTGTATCATTTCCCACATTAAAGGAGCTTTTACAGCAATTCCTCCTTTGTTTTCATGATCTGAACCCCAGGTTTGCACCATCTTCTGTCTGACACTTTGGTTAAACTTTTCCATCATGCTTATCCCAAGCAAAAATCTCTTGACGATGCGATCCTCTAATGAGTGAAAGGAGATAGCAACAAGGCGACCACCAGGTCTCAGAAATTTCTGAGCTGTCCTAAGTCCTGTGTAGAGTTCATTGAGCTCATTGTTCACAAATATACGAAGAGCTTGGAAAGTCTTGGTAGCAATATGGGTCGATCGTTGTAGCAAGTCTTTCCGTGCATAAATAGCAGAAGGAGGAAATGCACCTAGGAATAAATTTTGCAAAAACAGGAAAACGGACAGATATATTAATATTTCCCACTATAAATATGGTGGGTTGTGCAGTGTTTATGCCTATATATAAGGAATTAAATTTTCTTGTACATTTTGGCATTTCATCCATACTTCCCTCTTTTAATTAATTCATTGATTCATTTATTTTCACATTACTAGAGATTGAAACTAGGGACTTTGCATGAGCTACATCTTTATCCCTTTTTATATTTTATTTGAAGGTAAGGTCTCGCTTTATTGTTCAGTTGTCTATGCTGGGTTCAGAATGGCCATCCTTCTGCCCCAGACTCCCAGGTTACTGAGATTACAGCCATGTGCCACACTGCACAACTCCCTTCTTTGATTTTTAAAAATTCTTCCAAAGTTTAAAACTACGTGTCACAAATATTTTTCATACTTCATAAGGATAACAAAACAAATAATATGTAGAGAAAGAGAAGGGGTGGAAAAATATCTGGAGAAATAATAATTCAAATCTTCCTAAGTTTGCTGAAAAA